TCTATTCACCAATGTGACATGAATGACAAAGGGAACTGTGACATCCCATTAACACTGATAAATGTGCTGCATTTGCTCTAGTTGTGTGATATGATTTAGCTTTCCATGTGGATGGATCTATCTCCAGATAATCCTGTCTCTAGTAATCTTCAGTATACTCAAAAAGACCCAGTAACAATGGCTCTCAGCAATTTTTTTCTCTGTCCCATGCATCATGATCAAGTTCACAGTATGGTAAGCTGAACAGGAAAATTCCACCTGTGATAAAACAAGTCTGCTCTATCACGGTCTAAATTAATTCTGTGCTTAGGACAAAATAATTTATACATTCATATGGCTATGAACTTGCATACTATAAGGATGGATTTGCACAGCTAAGAATATGCTCAGCTATTTGCTGTCTATTTTTTATGATACCAAGGGATTTTAGAAACTGACACTTTCAGGAGGAATTTAAATTCAAATGTCCTTTCACAACTTTGTCCTGCATTTTTCATATATTTCTAGTAATGTCTTGCTCTTCTGGGAAGGAAATGAGCACAGCTATTTTCTCTGAATTGAAAGTTTCAGGGACTTGGAAACATGCCTTTTTATAACCTGCTAGGTACCTGGGCAGAGTGTGCTAAAGAAGGACCCCAGAGTTTCCACCTTCCCTGTGACCAGCTGATAACTAACTTCTTTTTGGTAGTCTGAAGGACTGAGCATGCTCTCAGACAGAACTCTTGCCTGATACTTTCCTAAAAGACAAAAAGAAAAACGTAATTTTGAAAGCACTTCAAACTGAAGTTACAAATGTTCTAATACTAACCAACTAAATAAATATCACACACACAAAAGTGGCACAGATGAGTCTTTTCTCTCTCTGACACATGTATGCATCAGAAACTTGTAAAATCGATTCATGTTCTAAAATTCTTCGCATCTCTTTTCCAGTTTAGGAAATACTTGTTGATACAGTATATTAAAAGACTGTGTAACAATATTCAAAGGAATTGTCAATTATCTTACACTCAGAATGAATCTTTGAATGGCTCTTCACATAATTTATGTAATTGTGAACACAGCCCTCAACAGGTTGTTGAAGGGAATGACACTGAAAGACCGTCTTAGAAGCTAAGCTGTTTGCAGTAATATTCCCGTCGCACAGAGCAGGAGTGTTTTATGCCCTGCGTGTGCTGTAACTTGCTATTACATGCTTGTAGCAGTGTTGGCTGAGACGAGTTGGTGAAAAAACAGGCAGTGTAGGCACAAGGTGGTTTGCTGGAGAGAGACCCAACTGTGCAGTGTCAGCCTGGGTTCATCAAAGCCCATTACTTGTTGGTCAAAGCTCTGCTTTCTAAGGCAACTTACTGGAAGGCCAACCAAATCCCTCATAGCATTGAACTGTTCTGGCTTGCCTGGAGATACACCCTTGGGATATTACCTGTTATCACAATGCAGGAATCAATGGCTCGATTTCTACTGGCACATATGATCACCACATAGTTTGTCTTTATTAATTTTCCTTCAATGAGTAGCTTAAACATTTCTGAAAGACCCTCAGCTAGAGAGTAGCTGCACTCGATGATATGGACACTGTCGTTACAGGAGCTGGCTGCCAGGCCTGCCAGCCAGGGAAGCTGGGCTGAAGTCACTGGGGCAATCTGGCTGGGCACTTGGGGAAAGGTCTGTGGAACAGCCTGTTGGTAATGACGGATTTCCGGCAGGTGTGATTCCCGCCATGAACGCATGAATATTTGTTCCAGATCCTCAATCAAAGGGACCTGGTCTGAGGCTGAAAAAAATTAAGAGGAAAATAGTATGAAACAATTAAACAAAACTGTTGAGTCAAAAATATGACCATGTTTCAGATTTGTGCATGCATGACTCTATTGCCTTTAGCAGATGTGAACCAATGCAAGGGCAGTAAATTACAGCTCTTTTATTTTAGTTTTTGTTGCTGAGGTCCCAGATTATAGCAGAAAATAAACTATGTATGATTATGATTCAATCTGTCTGGTCTTCAAGACCTAATTATTTAGAAACAGCTTAATATTCCCTTTCTTGTTTGCTGGCATGTATTACATTTGATGCAGTCTATCTGGATGTAGAACAATCTTACCTAGTTGAACAAGGTAGTAGACAGTCAGTAAGAGCTGCATTTCCTCAGAGATAGGCTGTATTGTGGAGGTGCCATATTGTTCATATGCTCTAGATAAAGACTGTGAATTTCTGTAACAGGTGTACAACAAGGGACTCACTATCACATCATTAATGTTCCCACAAAGATATGGGAAATTTCCATGACCTACAAAATAAATGTTTGTACATATGATATAAATATCATAATTTTCCATGTACGCATTAAACAGTTTTAAAGTAAAGCTCTTAAAATTGACAGCTTTACCAGCATTTAGCAGTGGGATGTATTGTTACATCTCTTAAAAAACAGATTTAGGACCTTGTGGGGTTGGGGTTTTACCTTTAAAAATAACTGGCTTTGCTTTACAGATTTTCAGCAAGTTGTCAGGAACTGACACCGGTTCTCCCGAGCCCACCATCGGAGAGGAGGCTGGCCCCATCAAAGCAGAATGTGGTAAAGATGACAGGCTTCCTCCATCTAAGATTTTAGATATATTGTTACTGGAGTCAAGTCTAATAATGATTTCCTCAAAGAAAAGCTACTCAACATCATCTCATACCTACATTTACTATCAGTATTAAGTGCTTTTCATGGCTCCATCACACAGTTCATCAGCTGTTAGTACAACCCATCTGCTAACTGTCTTAGAGGACTAATTATGTTACTGCACCCCTGACTATCCTACATGCATCTAAAGATTTCAAAATGTTTATAAACAAACAGTTCCAGGTATGAATGCAAGAACAGAGGGACTTATGTGATATCGATGCAGGTATAGTTACGATTTCTGAGTTCTGTATGATATATTTAGTTTCATTGGCTGTAAACAGGTTCTATTGCTATTGCAATAAAGTATAAAATAAGATTCAATGTCTGCTTAATCATAACTGCTTTATGGTAATTTTAGTTTAAATGATAACACATTAAAACAAAACATTTCAGGCAAAGGGGGTTTATTTCATTGCATGTCACTCTTGTCTGTGTAGACTATAAAATCCAAGTGCCAAGAACACTATGACGACTAATTGAAACAATGGATGGTACCTTGACCTGAGTTGTGACACTAATTTTACTATCCCAAAGGTGTTTTGGTGTTTAATGATGGACCCAGGCACCTGCTGGGATCCTAAGGAGAGTTAAGCTCAAAACCTCAAAAAGAAATCAATGAAAATGAAACATGCCAGTGAGCAGGGAGGTATCAAACACCTTCTAATATGAATCTGCATGTGTCTTTAAAATAATGCCTCTTTTCCCCTGTTATTTTCTGAATAATGAAACAAACAATATCATTACCCTGGCTATAGCTTACCATTTTTAATTCTGTTTGGAGCCTGTGGATTGAGCTGCAAGTTCCAGGTTTCAGTAGACGATGGAGATTCTGGTGACCAACCTTTATGGCGCTTCTTTGGAGGCCCTGAATTTGTTAATGTGCCTGAACAAGAATAAAATTTCAGAAAAATATTAGAATAAACTGTATTCACGTTTATGCATGGTAATTCAATATGTTTTGGTAGACTGAATGTGTATGGTGGTAGACAGGATCAATTCCATAAATACAATAATTATGGTATTTTACTTTGCTATGTACTGCTTCAATCTCTGTTGCAGAGAACTCTTGTAGATTTTGCTTATTTTATACCAATGCTTACTCTCTACTCGGAATAATGTAATAAGTAATGAGACATGTACTAAGAATGCTTATAAATATTAATATTTTGAAGTCAACACTTTCAGCATTTTACTCCCTTTATTTCTGAACACGACACAGTGTTTTGTGGAACTTTTGCAAGTAACGTTTTGCAAAATAAAATTATCAAGGGCTTCAGGGTCATATTAGTAAAGGTCTGAGTTCTTCTCAACAATTTTCCCATTTACAGGATTTTTGCCACTTCTTGCTGGTTCCAATTTAGGTTTTATGTTATTCCACATTAACTCCTATCAAACTGCTTCTGCACCTTCCTCCTACCCACATATAGCTTCAACACCTTTGTAAACCCTAACTTTCTCACAGTTTTTCTAGGAGGTCCTGATGATTAATTTCTTTAATTTTCTTTCATTCATTTCTTGAGTCTTCTTGTGCACTCCAGCATATTCCTACAATGATGAGCTTCCACTAACATCAAGTATTTCTAACTATTGAGAGTCAACAGTCCTCTAGGAATTGCTCAGCATCTTTCAGGATTGAGCTATTTCTATTTCTGGACATGACCACACAGAGGTCGCAACAAACTTCACACTGGTAGGGCTATACCTTCTGTCAGAATGGTAAGTCCCACATAAAATTCAAGATGGAATAAGAATTTCATATAGAAAGGTGAATTTAATTTTGCAAAAGATATTAAAGATAAACCTGAAGTCTACAGATGTAGAAGAAGACTGTTCACCTGCAGACCCTTACACAGGCTTCCTATTACTTTGTCCCTTACCCTGTTACCACGCGATGGCAGCCTCTGGCCATTTGTGCTGCTCATCCTTTCACTAAGCTTCCTGGCAAAATGTAACAGCAGTCACAGTATAGTTAGAGCAATACAAAGGATTTTTTTATTTGAAAATGCTATGCTCTTTCCTGCAGATATGTTGATATGTGAAAGCAGTCCATCTAAAATAAATTGGCAGTAATGTGCTGCTGCATGGAAAAAAGAGATTAAGAACCTGAATGGGCTGAGAAATATAATTTGCCTGTGATGTCAGCAGGGAAACTCGGGAAGATTTATTCTAATATAGAGCTACAGCATATTTCTAGCCATGGTGAAGACTAATTTTCTTCCTTAAACAAGTGACACAGAATACAGCTTGTGACAGAAATCAATTCACACAAATCACAATAATAATCGTACAGTGGGGACAGTTTCTTGAATTTGAAGCCAGTTGTCAAAGTCCAGTGCTCCAACCCAAGGTGAACTGCAACATAGGAATTATCTTATGACAGATTACTTATAAATCTTTCTTAATTGCCTTCACAAAACCTGTTGGGGAAATTGGTGGAAACTGACCCATGGATTCAGAATCTGGTCTTTACCTCTATTAAATCAATGAACTGCAAATATAAGGAAAAACCTCCAATTAATATATTGAACTATATCAAATATGCGGCTGAAAACATGTAAACAATTTTTTTTCCTGGAAATTAACACAGAAAACAGTATTAGGGTCAGAAAGGACTTGGAAGATAATAATAATTTCAATTAATACCGGAAATTACGATCATAATATTATTGTTCAACACACCTGTTACAGGCACGGAATACAGAGCTTAGTGTTATTAAACAACAAATCCATACAAATACCTAACACTGAAGGTCTTGTGAGAGCAGACAGGTTATTCTTCATCAACTGTTGTTTAGGTGATTCCTTGCCATTATAAACTGCTGAGCTGAACACTGCTGTTGAAGGGATGTGATCTATGGTTGCAGCTGGTAAGAAAAAAACCCACAGTATTTACAGTAAATGTTTCTAGATCTTCAGTTGATATAATAAAATGCTCACTCAACCATTTACTTTAATAAAGCCATCAGGAGCTGCTCAAGAGTAAATGCAATGCTGAATAAAACAAACCTGATCTCATACTCCCAATTAAGTGCATGGGCAAAATCTTGTTCTGCATTAAACACATAGGTCAAAACCTTTAGCTTCTTTGCAGGACCCTGGCTCTTACATGAAGTTTACTCAAGAACCAGTTAAAAGAGAGACATTGTTTAAAATTTACTAAGCCTCCATTCCAATTTGACTTTCTCTTTCCAAGCTTTGTTTTAACTAAGCTGCATTAAAAAAGAGAGGTGCTCTCAAGCCTATTATGTTAGCAATTAATGTAGCTTTTTAAAATATAGGTAACGTCTGACAAAAAACAATCCAATCTGTCATTCTAAGGAGATTGATGATTTGTTCTTGAGGGGTACCAGTATTCCTGATCACAGCTATTTAATAGGCTTATTTCTCATGGAGAGAGTAGAATATAACCACCAACAGATGTGCCTCAGAATCCCTGTAACAGTCACGAGACACTAAAGAGCTGTTTTCATTATGATGAAGCTCAGAGAGATCACTCTAACCTCTATCATACATCACCTTTCATTTATGTCAAGTTAATGGAAAAGCAAATGTCCCAAATAATTTTTAATACAAAAAAAAGTTACAGATACCAGGAACTAGTTTGGTTCTTAATATTAAAGTCACTTTTCTCAGAAGAAGAAAAAACTCAGAAGCTTTTAGGTTGATGCCCATATGATGCCCGAAGTAAACAGGATTCTGGTCATAACATATAATAGAGAAGATCAGAAGAAAAAGCTGAAATTACACTGGATCCTGTAACAGTTGTCATCCGTGAGCAGAAAAGCAACAGCTGGAGAAACATAATACCTATTGTCAACAACTTCCAAAATAATGGCTTTTACAAAAATTTTGGTTTGCTTTAGCTATGAGCAAGCTGAAGAACACCTATTTTACTATTTGCTAACCTTTGTTTGTAATGTATCTCTAATTGTATTCAAGTTGTTTGATTTTATGTGGCAGTGTGGTTATTTATTTGTCTCTGCATACAGACATAGACACATGCACCTAAGAGTGGGTGGAACCCGAGCGTGTTTTCCCTCTAAGCAGTACCTGTTTGCTGAGTCCCAGCTGGAGCACTGGGGTTTGCAGCTGGGAGCAGCTCACTGGAGGTGCTTCCTGAGAGACCTGAACTTTCTGGGAGCTGGAACAAGGTGCTTGAGCAGGTACTGATTGAAGATTGCCGGCCTCTGAACTCTTAACAGAAAAAGAACCTTCTTAACCCCGACAACAGTGGCATTTGCTTACTCTCAGCATATTGGATTTGATTATTTCACACATGAATTGCTTGGAGGCTACAGCACTTGGAAAGAAAGTACCCACATCTTCAGGAATAGCAACCTCATATTAGGTCAGACAATGGCTTTTTACAGCTGCTCTAGCACCCACCTAGCTTTAAAGAGTCTTTCTTACAACTGATCTGTCTTAGGTTTTACACAGACGCCAGTCCCCACGATAGCTAAGCTTGGGTGATGAAAACCAGAACTCCAGGAAGATAGCTTCATTATCTTACCTGCCCCTTTCCAGCAGATTACAGATCCTTTGGTCAGAGCTCCCTGTGCATTCCTGACCAGATAATACTTTAAGTGTTTCTGTTTCTTGGGCTGAGTGGTCAGTTTAAGATTAATGTGATTTGAGAACTCTGTAAAGTAGCAGAAACCCTTCTTGCCACAGCCAACACAATTGCCAGAGAAGCCTGATAAAATAAACAATACATATAATCCAATGAGATAGGTGGGTCACTCTTAATAACATTCAAACCAACTCTTTTCTGAGGAAAAGCTGTATTTATGGTTTGGGTTTTTTTTCATAAAGTGAAATTTTTATCAACATTGTATTTGTACTTTCTGCAAAAAGCTTATTGCACTTTGGATACCAGATAGCAAAAAAACAGCCCCACATTTACAGAATGGTTCAAATGGGCTACATTTTTCATTTTAACCCACCAGAAAAAAATTGCAATTCCTATTTATTACCTACCTGTGAAAAGTTTGTGACTGAAGAGCACTGGATCACATGCTCAACTCCAGCCCTATTCACCACTACAGCACGTACATGCTTCACTTCTCTTTCAGTTGTCATTGAAATGTAATTCAATTTCACTGAATTTCATTTCACTCAATTGCATTGAAACATGAAATTAAGTCTCAAAAAATAAAGTATATTTAATCTACTATACGTAATTAGATCTAACTATATTTAAGTACCAAGTTCCTACTACAGATGCTTTTTTTAGAGAGGAAAAAATCTAAAGCCTTCCTGGGCTATTAATTTAACGTAACTTTCTCAAATTATGGCTGGACTGTGTCAGCACTTCACAACAGTTGAAACTATTTATGATTACAGGAACAAAGTGTCTGCAACTTTATAGACACAGCAGACACACAGTCCTTCCCCATAAAGCTTTTTGTACTCGGGCTTGATGGGGCATTTCCAGGGATATTGCCATTTCCTCTCATTCTGAGGTACACAGCTTGAGCCTCAACCAGAGGCTCATGATGCTGATGGCATTATCATCATAAATAAAGGGCTTTCCTCACACAGCTGCCTTTAAATTCTTAAACAACTTTTTTTTGTACATTTTACAAAGTATTTCCTAAGGCATTTTCATCTTGCATCAGACCAATGCAACTGTTCTACAAAGAAATCCTATAGTGAGCAATTAAAGGACAA